CAGACGCTGGGAGAGCCCGATTTGCCCAAACATTAACGTCTTATTGGTTTAACGCAATTTACTGCACCTCAATTTCGGAATATGATTTTCATTTCCTCTGAAACCTCGCTGGCAGGCCCAGCACAGAGGAGACGGCATCTTCATAAACGCCATCAGCTAGCTTACGCTTTTTAACACGCCCTCAAGATTGTATAATAAATCTTTGATAATTAAAAAAAGGACAAGGCTTAAGAACGAGGTCTCCGGCTGGCATCTGAGGATGCAGCTGTTGTTATAGTGGTCCTGCTTCCAGTGCCAGCTTAGGACCTCCCGCCACCCCCACCCTCCATGTCCCTCTGAAGAGCCACAAGGGATGATCAACATGCACACAGGGCACCGTCAGCACACACAAAAGAGCAGTTCAATTCCTTTAGCCACCGTGAGTCCACAGCCCACGTAGCACCCAGACTGCCCTGATCTACCCGGGCAGCAGTCCAGCCTCGGTTAAAAGAGTCACATCCCCTAGGCAACCAACACCTGTTTTAGAAGGTTTTGATTTCCAACTTAAGAATTCTGAAGTCTCCAGTGGCATACAGGATGGTAGAAACATAGCTCAGAGCCTTTTCTCTCTTCTATCCATCCATCGAAGCAGCCCATACACAGTTCCTGACACCTGCTGAGGGTCAGTCACTGTACAGAAAGATGAGACGCAGCTCCTGGGAAGTCTCCAGGCTCACGGATGCACTGTGCAATGCTGCCAGAGAGGGATTTGGGCAGTGCTATGAGGACTGCCTGTGGGGAGAAGCCTGAGGTTGAGTCAGCCTACCTCGTAGCCACAGATGCTCCAGGGGTCAGGAGAGTGCTCTCATTAAATCTAGGCAGTGACATCCCAAGATAAGATGACATCAGTGGACAGCCATCTTCCCAACACCTTCAGGAGCAGAGTCTGACTCATTCCTGTCACCACAGCTTCCACTCTTCCCTGGGACAAGGCCCATTCCCATCAGCCCCTCTGACCTAAGCTTTCAGGAACCCAGTGATTAGGTAGCTCTTTGTCTGGAGAATTTTCTCCCGGGGGGACTTGGCAACATCTATCCATCTGATCCTCACAAGTTCCAAAGACAAACCAAAGTTCAATTCCATCGAAGTTCTACCTGAGAGCCAATGAGTTTATTAGGTTTATTTAATAGAGCAGCAGGTGAGGGGTTTGGGTACGTGGGTGACCCTAAAGCAGCCATATTGAAAGGCCCACTCCCAGCATGATGGTGATTTCTCCCATGTCTACAAAGATGAAGCCGCCTCCCCTACTTCTTCCCAGTCTACAAACTCTAGCCCCTCTCTGAGGCCAGTGGAATTAGGGCAAAACTGCACATAACTGGTTGGGAGGAGTGGCTGGATTCTTGGGTGAGGGTCCCAGACCCTCCCCTCTTCTTCTACGAGGGAAGTCAACAAGACCAGCTGTGATGATCTTTTGCAAGCAGACACAGCTGGACGCCTGAAGATGGCGGCAGTTTGGCTCCAAGGACAGTCTTGTACAACACTCCCACTGGCTGAGGCCCATGACAGACACTACACCTCCTCTAGATCTTCTGTGTGGACCACTAGTGGGTGTGGCACACAGTAGGTACACACAGGTGAATCAATTGGCCATTACACCAAATCTGTTCACTTGGTACTCTCTGGGCACCTGGCCAGGAGCCTCCCAGCATGCTTGCCGAGCTCAGCCTCCAGCTTCAGGCTGCCCTGTCTACAACCCAGGGTCCTAGGCCCCGAGGAAAGGGAGCCTGCAGCAAAAGCAAAAGCTCCCCAAGCCTCAACTTGGCAAGGAAGGGTTCCCAAAACTTCAATGTGACATGTGGCCTCTGTTTGAATCTTGGCTTGAGGAAACCAATTTCAAAGAGACAGTTTCATATCAATACTGACTGGTGAATGATACTGTTAAGAAATTACAGTCAGGGCCAGCAAGGTGGCTCAGTGGGTAAAGGCACTTGCTGCCAAGTCTGATGACCTGAGTTCAATCCCTAACACTCACATGGTGGAAGGAAAGAACCAACACCTTTAAGTTGTCCCCTGACCTCCATGTGTGTGCTATGGCATGCATGTGTCTACGTACATACACACATATACTAAATAAACAGACAGATAAGTTTTAAAAAAGAAATCCCTCAGTAGAGGACAGGGATTGGTTCTAAGATTCCTCTGATACCAACTGACCTCCATGGATGCTCAAACCCCCATAAGGATGGAGCATTTGCATAGATGCCACACCCCCAGACCCCACTTCATCTTGAGGCTATTTATAAAGCCTAATACAATGTCAAGAGTTGTCATACTTCATGGTTTAGAGAAAGATGACAAGGAAAGTCTGTGTGTGTTCAGTTACAGATGGAATTTGTAAAAAAAAAAAGTTTGAGCCACGGTTGGCAGTTGGCTGAATTCGTGATGCGGAACACTCAGATACGGAGAGCCGACTGTACCATTAATTTGGTTAGATGGGATAATGGCAGGGTGGTTGTGTAAAGGAAAAAACTCTCATCAGCTGAGATGCCTCCTGAAATATTTACAAGGAAAATGACATGATGTCTAAGCTTTTCAAATACGCCAGCAAACCAAAATGCGAACACAAAACAAAACAACAACAACAAAAAAACTGGACAGGAGCTTCATTATGCCTTTCTACTTTTTCAGATTTTTGACATTTCCCAGTAAGCAGGAGATAAAAAACCTTCTGTTATATTAAGGCATTCCTTGAGATCAACCCAGAGTCCATGCAGCTCTGCCTACTGGCTGCAGAAGGTCAGGTTCAGAAACACAGACAGGAGGGTATCTCAGGGCCCCTTCTAGACAGAGGCCACTCCAGAGCCGACTCCCTGCAGCTCAGGGCATAAAGCAGGGCCTGGATGCAGCAGACTTCGGGTGCCCTGCTGAGATAAGCTATTTGTGTTCTGATTTCTTGGTTATTTTTATTTGAGGCATCTGTTATGGGTCACTATGAGTCAACTCAGTTGAGAACAGGTTTCTGGGGCACTGCCAGTCTGAGGGACTGCTTGCCCAGCCCACCTCCCTAGGCTGGCCCTATAGCTCTCTTCCCATCCTAGATCTTTGAAGAGGTGGGGGTGAGACCATGTGACTTGCAACCACAGAGACTGCCTACCTTCCATTTTGTGGAGGCAAAGTCTGGGACAGCTTCTGCGTACCCTCCCCCAGCTCCTCAGCAAGAGGAAGCAGCAACTCTGATGGATATTAGTTACAAGCCCCTTCCTGGGAAATCACAGCAGCTGTGGAAAGTCACTTTTAACTTCTTCTTGCCAGGGTAAGAGAGAAGTACAGACACAGGTATGTCATGTTGGCCAATGCCCCACCTAAGCCTCACTGCTGCTATTTGTACGGATACGGATGAAGACACAAGGCCAGAAGGGCAGGGATGGCACATTAATCCTTTCTCTGTTACTAGAACAAAATATCCAAGGCAGGCTAGTTTATAAAGAAAAGAGGGGCTTGGAAAGATGGCTCAGTGTTTAACAACACTAGCTGCTCTTGCAGAGGACCTGGGTTCGGTTCCTAGCACCCAATGGCCACTAACAACCATTCATAATTATAGTTCTAGGGGATCTGACACCCTCTTCTCGTCTCTGCAGGCACTGCATACACATGGTGCACTTATATACATGCATGGGAAACATTCTTACATATGAAAAATAAAGGGCTAGAGAGATGTCTCAGTGGTTAAGAACGCTGGCTGCTCTTGCAGATTTAGTTCCCAGCACCTATGTGGTGGTTAACAACCTTTTGTAACACTAATTCCAGGGTGTGCAACGCCCTCTTCTGACCTCCGCAGGCATTACACAACACAGGTGCATTTACATATATGCAGGCAATACTCATACACATAAAATTAATAAAAATATTAATTAATTAAAAATTTTTTTAAAGAAACAATGTTTGTTTAGCTTATAGTTTTGAAGGCCAGAAGTTCAAGATCAGGTTTATTACAGCTCTGAAAAAGTCTGAGAAACTAGATGGAGCCAGGCTAGTTCTTTTCAAAACAATCTTTTCTCAAGAACCAACTCAAGGTTCCACAAGAACTACCTTAAACCCTCCGAGTACAGAACTCCCAATGACGAAAAGGGCCTCCCACTAGGCTCCACTCCTTAAAGGTTTCATCACCCTCACATCAACACACCTGGGACCAAGCTTCCAGTGCATGGGCCCTTGGGAGACATACCACAGTCAAAAATGTAATAGAGAAAAAGAACTAGATAGAACAGGCCTGAGGGCAACCTGAGGGGTGAACTTGGGCCAAAGTGGGGAAGGGGTGGCAGCATCAAGCTCTCACAAGGCCAGGTAGGAAAGGAAAACCTGGGGTGCAGAGCGGGGGAAGAGCAGCTCTCCAGGCTCACCTTCCCAGAGCTTCTATGCGATCTGGTCACTGGTGGGAGACCCAGGACATGGATGGGGAGTCCGGCCTCAGTCGAGAACTTCCTTGAGCCCTTGGCTGCAAGCTGACCCCCAGGTCCTGGAGCACAGCAGAGCAGCCCTGAGAAGTACCTGGGTGCGCCAGCCGCACAGCAGGCCTAATTGGAGCTGAAGGCCGAGGGGGCTCTCCGGGCGCTTTATGAGCCACTTAACCATCCTCGACCCAGTCGCCTGAGCGCAGCAGATGTAATGGCAGTGTTTACACATAAAAATGGCAAGCTGTTCTACTAGCAGCTTTCTCGGGCACAATAGCAGCTATTTGGTAAAGTTTCCTACAAATTGCAGAAACAAAGTCCAAGAGTAGAATGATGGGGCACTAATCCAGCCTGGAAAGTCATCAAAGACCATTACCATCAAACACTCTGCCAGGAGCCAGGGAGGTGGCCACCATCTGAGGGACCATAATCTCTGCCTGGGACCCCAGTGCTGCTCATAATCCCCACTCGATCTGCCACAGCGCCGTGATCCCTCATCTGTTACTTGCTCAGGGAACATAAATTACTGGTTTTTACATTTTAATCTTTACCCAGAGAGACACAGCTTACCTTTCCATCTCATACTCCTTCATTCCCACTTTTACGGCCTTCATTACCTGGAGGATGGATATTAAGCAAAGACATCTGTATTAAGCAGAGAAGTAACACAGCCTTATAAATAATGTACAGCAATTTTTCAAAAGCTCCTCTTTTTAAAAAAGGAGGGGAAAGGGGGGGGTGATACATGCACAGAGTGGTATAGAAATGTGACAAATTGGACCTTTTAAAAGCTCCAAGATCCACAGAGTTTATTTAAACCACTGTGGAGTACTTTCATTTGGAAGGTGATAAATGCAGGCTGAGCTACAGCCTACAGGCAGCGAGCAGCTGAAAGACAAAAGATTTGGCCAAGATGTTTGGTGAATCCCTAATGTTAAGAAAGGGTTTTTATTTGCCTAATTTTCATAAAATGGAAAATTAGCTAGGATAAGAGATTATGAAGCCACCTGAGTCTGATGAAGCCAGCACCAGGCTACCCTAGGCACCCTGAATGGCTTTTGAAATACCTGCTTCCTTATTTCCCTGTGAAGATGGTTTTGGAAAATGGATGATGGCTGGGTCTGGTGAAACATGCCTGTAATACCAGCACCGTGGAGGTAGAAGTAGGAGGATCATAACTTCAAGGTGGCCTGGGTTATCTAGTGAGTTCCAGGCCAGCCTGGTTATCTAGTGAGACCCTGTCTCAAAAACAAAAAGAAAGAGAAAAGAGAAAAGAGAAGACAGGGATGGTAGTAATAAACGAGCTGGAATTATAGTTCCAGACAACAGATGCTTTGCAATGAGCTGGGAAGTGGCAGGATGCAAGGAAGGAGAACACTGTCCTCTTGGAAGTGGGGCCATTTGGTTGGGATAATCCCTCAGGATTGGTGCCCAGGATCTTCATGAAGATGGTGCCTTAAGGGAGGAGGAGAGGGAGCAGAGTCGCTCCCATCCCTGCCCTGCACCTACTAAGAAGGAGAGAAATGCTGGTGAAGCCTCCTGCTTTCATGTGGTCTCTGAGGACTGGAGCCTGGCCACAACCATTCATCCTCCCTCACACCCCATGCTCAGAGATGCTGCCTGTTATGGTTTGGATGTGAAATGTCCCCCACAGCCTGGTGTGTCTGAACACTTGGTCCCCAACAGGTTGTGCTATGTAGGGAGATTGTGGGAGCCATTAGGGAGACCTAGCTGTGTGGGGAGATTGTGGAGCCCTTAGGAAGGGGGGGACCTAGCTGTGTGGGGAGATTGTGGAGCTCTCAGGAAGGGGGGCCTAGCTGTGTGGGGAGATTGTGGAGCCCTCAGGAAGGGGGGCCTAGCTATGTGGGGAGATTGTGGAGCCCTCAGGAAGGGGGGGACCTAGCTGAAGGAAGTGGTGGCTGTTGAACTGGACATAAGGGTTAAAGCCCAGCTCCACTTCTACCCCAGTTGCTCTCCTTGATTGGCTGAGATGTAAGCCAGCCTCTACAGCTACCTCCATGGAGCTATCCAGCACTCCTCCATGATGGACTGTGAGCCAGAATAAATCCTTCCTCCCTTAAGTTGCTTTTTGTCAGGTGTTTGGTCACAGTGATAAGAAAAGTCTCTACTACCCGTGTAGTATTATCCAACTCACCTGGCAGTGGGCTTCACTGGAGATCCGATTGGTGTAGCGTAAAACCTCTAGCTCCATGTCTGTTTTGAACACTCTGCTGCAGAGGAGAAAAAGAAAATGGAAAGTCTGTGGCAGGGACTGAACCTTCTGGGGAACCAACCACGGCCCCTGGGAACTAGGGCTGCTTGTGGCTACACAGGATCAAAGAGGCCCAAGACCCACAGTGATGCAATGACCTGAGTTGTCTGAAGAAAACCTGCTGGAGAAGAGGGGGAGAAGCAGCTGCCCACCTTGTCCTAACATCAGTCACAGCCAGGCAGTATGCAGAGACGAGAGCTGGCAGCTGCTGTGGGTGGCAGGGGATGCCCAGTCTCTGCAGTGCCCAAGCTCTGTTCCCTCATTCATAGAATGGGAACAAAACCTACATGGCAAACGTGTTGGACCTTAATCTGCGGGGTGCACCCACCCCTCAGGACTCTGCCCCATTGGCTGAAGGTACTTCTCGGCTCCTTCCACCTTCTAGCCCTTGGGGCAGCCCGGCTGCACCCTGTGACGCAGGCCCTTAACCAAGACAGGGTTGGGTGGCTAAAGACAGAGTGGGACCATGGGTTTTTCTACCCTGTGTGCAGGTAGATATGGAAACAGCTGATCTGCAGAGAGAACCAGGAAACTGGGGGAAGAAAAGAGGAGAGCGGCAGGGATGAGCACAACAGCAGGGGACTCCAAGGACTCTCCTACAACCAAATGGCAAGAGTGCTCAGGGGTCTCAAAGCTGACTTCTAGTAATACGCCTACCAGTTTCCTGTCCTAAATTCAGTCTTATCCCCAAGATTCACATAAAAGGAATAAATATTTATTTCTGACTTCCACCCATTTGAAGTAACTAATACCAGGCCCACGGGCATTTAGTAACAGTATCATACATGCTGGCCCAGAGATAGACCAGGGCTCTACCTGCAGGTCTATGGCTTCCCAGTAGATCCTACTGTGTGCCTCAATAACAGTCCTTGCTCATAGGCTTTTTTTTTTTTTTTTTTTTTTTTTTTTTGAGATAGGGTCTCACTCTTGTAGCCCAAGCTGGCCTTGAACTCTCCAAAATGCACAAACTTGCATCTTTAAAGCACCAGGAGCAGTGCCTGGCACATGGGCAAAGCAGTATCTGGTCCTCAAGTCGAGTTTTAAGCTTGGAGCTGCAGCCTTAGCCACACTGCTCTCTTGAAGACAGGCACAGCCTCTGTTGGCCTTAGACAGGCTGCCTTGATTCTCACAGAAACAAAACCACCATCCCTCAGTATTTCTGGGTGATTGATTCCGGGACCCCCATTATAACCAAATCCACAGATTGCATAGAGCCTACCCACATCTTCCTGTATACTTTAAATCATTGCTGGATGACTAACCTCACCTAATACAAAGTAAATGCTGTGCAATTGGTTACTATGCTGTACTGTCTAAGGAACGATGACAAGAAGAGGGCTCTGCACGTACAAACAGCTCTCCTCTGCCCAAAGTGTGGGACCAAACAACTGTGGACTGAACCTCTACAACAGGAACCACACAAGTCTCCTCTCTCTCCCGTCAGTTGCTCTGTCAGGTATTTTGGTCACAGCAATGCAAAAGTGACAAACCCAAGTACAGCTGCAGTCACTGCAGGCCTAACTACAAAGCACAGGACACAGGTGTGGGGTGGGCAGAATGCAATATACCAGTGCTGGAGCAGGACTGAGAGTCGGTGGAATAGCAGAGGTTAGACCAGGACCTTCCCATACACTTCATTTATGTGAATTCAGCATGGTGCTTAGGGCTCCATAGACCCAAGCATTGATTTTTGGAGCTTTCTGGAATTTTGTTCCCCACTGTGGTTAAAGGAACTCATGGACATAGTGGATGACTTTATTTCCAAACATTAGTATTTACAACACAAAGCAGACAAACCTCAGAAAGCAAACACAGCCTCCTTCTTCCTAAACTGCCATTGGCAGGGGTCCAGTTCATGTAGATGCCCTGAATGGAGCAGATGTTGGCTATTTTGCCCTGCTCACCTCCTCAGGCCCATGGTCTCATCTCCCAGCAGCAGAGAACATGAAGACACCCAGTCTTCTCTAGAAGACTGCCAGCCCCTTACTTCAATTGGGGATGTTGGTGGTGGGCCACTCCAGCTACAAAGCTTCCCACAAACCAGTGTCTGCAGCCCAGCCCAGGCCTATGTCCTCACTAAGAGTGCTCCTCAGTACACTTCCTACCCACGTCTCAGAGATTGGCTTCCCAGAGAACCCAACCTGAGAAGGCATGATCGCCCCCATTTTATAGGCAAGGAGACAGAAACTTAGCCAAAACAATGTCAAAGGCGGAACCACCCACCCACGCTGTCTCAATGGCTCCTTTGTCCTTATACTCCACACAAAACCAGGTCTCTACACTCAAACTACCGATCAAACCTAACAGTCATTTTCAATCATTCAAAAACTCAGACATGGGGCTGGAGACATGGTTCAGCAGTTAAGAGTATGACTCACTCTTCCAGAGGACCAGGGTTCCTGGGTTCAGTCCTTAGCACCCACATGGTAGCTAAGAACCATCCTAACTCCAGTTCCTCTTCTGGCCTCTGTGGACACTACACACATACACCACACCTGGGCACTTACATACATGCAGGCAAAACACTCATAAAATAAAAATAAATTTAAAAAACCCTCAGAAATGGGAAAACTATTTCAGGAGAGAGATAGGAGAGCTAGAGAATCTAATAAAGATGACGACAGGATGTAATAGGTATTTTAAATTTTTATTTTTATTATTTTTAATTATGTGCATGCACCTGTGTGTGGGTATGTGCACATGAATACAGTTCCAGGGCAAAACACTCATAAAATAAAAATAAATTTAAAAAACCCTCAGAAATGGGAAAACTATTTCAGGAGAGAGATAGGAGAGCTAGAGAATCTAATAAAGATGACGACAGGATGTAATAGGTATTTTAAATTTTTATTTTTATTATTTTTAATTATGTGCATGCACCTGTGTGTGGGTATGTGCACATGAATACAGTTTCCTGTGGAAGTCAGAAGAGGACATCAGATCCCCTGGAACTGGAGTTACAGGTGATTGTGAGCCTCCTGACATGGATGCTGATTCAGGTTCTCTGTAAGAGCAGTACACACTTGACCACTTGAGCCATCTCTCCAGTCCCTGGGATATTTTTAGAAAGTGCCACTGGTCTAAAAGTATAATTAAAAGCAGCCCAGGATGTGCTAGTCACCAAGTCTAGGAAACAATCTGTAGATCAGTTCTTGAAGCATATGGTGGCTTTGAGAACATCCATGAGGATGGGATGGGTTCATTTCCACACAGAAACACAAGAAGTTTAAAAACTCTTAGTCATGCAGTAAAGAAGACACATGTTTTCCCCGCCTCTCAATAAGAGAAGAAAAAGGCAAACAGAACTCTAATTTAAATATCAATGCCCAGAAGTGACCTTAATTTATATGGTATCAAAGCAACACTGCACACATTACCTTCCTGTTCGAGGGGGACCTGGAGCCTCCTGGCCAATTTAACATCACTGATGGTAGGTCAAGTAAGAATTATTTGTATCCTAACGTAGTGCACCAAGAAATACATATCAACTATAGTATATTCTAACAAATACTCTACACTTACAGTGCTGTTAGAGATCTAATTTCCAGTCTGTAGGAAATAGGGAGAAAGAAGAGCAAGCTAAACACCCAATGTGAAAACAGAAGGTGGAACATTGGTAGCACAGCCAGCCACCTTTTCAGCAGTCAGGGATACAGTCTGAACCTTAACTGTGCCCAAAAGGCCAAGTACCAAAGCCTGAAGACAGCGGCATGTAAGGCTATGGGGACATGGTAGAATCTCTAAGGGGTAGGGCAGAGTTGGAGGAAGTTAGTTCACTGGGTTGTGGCATGAAGGGGCAACTAGGATGCCACCATTCCTCATTTCCCCTGGCTTGAGTTCTCCTCCACCATACACAGCGGCCACAGTGTACTTCCTCACTGCAGACCTGGAGCCACAATGGACCAAACCCTCTGAAGACAGGGAGCCCAAACCGACCTTTCCTCCTTAAAGCTGACTGTCTCAGGTATTTTGCAAAGTGACAGGAAGTTGACTAAAGATTATGGGTAAGAAAATGTCATAACATCCAGGAGAAATGCCTACTTAATTAGCATTTTTTATTTATCATTTTTATTCTCTATGTATGAATGTATTGCCTCCCTGTATGTAAGTGCACCCATGTCGTGCAACCCCTGCAGAGGTAAGAAGAGGGCGTTGGAGCTCCTGGAACTGGAGTTACAGATGGTTGTTAGCTGCCATGTAGGTGCTGGGACTCAAACTTGGATTCTCTGTAAGAGCAGTCAGTGTTCTTAACGGCTGAGTCATCTCAGCAGTCATCTCAGTTAGAAAATAAGTACTTTCTAACTTTTTAAAAAAATAGATTTCCAAGGCTGGAGAGATGCCTCAGCAGTTAAGAGCACTGGCTGCTCTTGCAGAGGACCCAGGTTCAGTTTCCAGCACCCACATAGTGGCTAACAACCATCTGTAATTTCAGTTCCAGGGGATCCAATGCCCACCTTTGGCCTCTGTGGGCATTGCAACACATGTGGTGTGCTTAAATACACACATGCAAGCAAAACACTTGCACATATAAAATAAAAATAAAATTTGAAAAATAGATTTCCCAGGGCTGCAGAGATGGCTCAACAGTTAAGAGCACTTACTGCTCTTCCAAAGGACCCAGGTTTAGTTCCCAGCACCCATATGGCAGCTAACATCCATCCTTAACACCAGTTCTAGGGGATTCAATGCCCTCTTTGACACTTGTGGGCACCAGGCACACATGCAGTCCACTTAAATACACACACGAAGTCAAAACACTCATTACATATAAAATAAAATCTTTTAAAAGCTGTCATTAAAAACAGATTTCCTGCCAGGTGTGGTGATACATGCCTTTAATCCCAGCACTTGGGAGGCAGAGGCAGGCAGATCTTTTGAGTTTGAGGCCAGCCTGGTCTACATAGTGAGTTCCAGGACAGCTGGGGCTACAGGGAGACCCTGTCTCAAAAAGACAAAAAA